TACTTTAGCTACCATATACATAAATACAGAACCCAAAGCATCATTTTGAAAGTATTCCACATTGCATTATTATCATGAGTAGGCCAATATGGAAAATGCCTGACATAGTTACATAAAAGTCTAAATCTAAACACATTAGCAAGTGTCCAAAGCAAGCCTTTAGCAAATTAAAGAATTCCCATGTGGATCCTACTATTTTAAAGTTACACTAAATCCTGAATCCATTTTTCCAACTGACCCTGTGAGTTGTTCCTGTACCAGGGGATTCCCAACAGAGACCAAGCAGTTCTGCCATGGTATTCTCAAGGAGAGTACCAAGGTATGATCTGGAAACCCAGATCAACAAGATTCCTACTAATTCTTAAATGTACACAATAGGCTCTATCAAAATGGATGAGTAGATTCTTTATCCCTAAAATTAGCAACAGCAAAACAAAAGCAAATAAACAAAAACCTACAGCAATGCCAAAGACTGATGAAGAAAGGGACCATGATAACTACAGGGAAGGAAAAAGAAGATACAGCAGAAAACCTAGCCATCAAAAGGCAACTTCAGGAAATCATAAGCTAAATTCAGAAAGAGAAACTTCAGCCCTGACTGGTGGTTCAGTTGGTTGGAGCGTCATCCCGTACACCAAAAGGTGGTAGGTTCAATTCCTGGTCAGGGCACAAACCTAGGTTTTGGGTTTGATCCCTGGTCAGGGCTCAGATAGGAGGCAACCTATCAATGTTTCTCTCTCTCAAACCAATTTTTAAAAAGATCCTACCCTAGCAGGTTTGGCTCAGTGGATAAACTGGATAAAACATTGGCCCATGGACTGAAAGGTTCTGGGTTCGATCCTGATCAAGGGCACATACCTCAAGTGCACGCTCCTCCCCAGCCCTAGTCCCAGCATATGTGGGAGGCAACCAATTGATGTGTCTGTCACATCAATGTTTCTCTCTCTCTGTCTCTCCCCCTTCCTTCCACTCTCTCTAAAAATCAATGGATAAATATCCTTGGGTGAGGATTAACAACGACAAATATATATATTTGTTGATTTAAAAAATAAAAGAAAAACTTCACTAGAGGAGGAAAAGCAGCTTTACTATAGTACTATGTGAACTACACTGACTTTACTGTCACACTGTAAACATTAACAAATGTGTTCATCCTAAAATATTCCTCAAAGCAACATATATAAACTACAGTAAAAAAAAAAAAAAAAAAAAAATTAAAAATGACATTTGCTGTTTAAATGTTAGGGATGCAAGATGAGATCATTAAAAGTAAAGCTTAAAATATTTCCAGTGACAATCATGTTCATGTGAGATATTTTCATCTAAATTAATGAAAACCTACAACACATGTGTTTAATACTAGTGAATGCAGTGGCTCTTGTAAACTTCTTTGAAACTGAGAATAATTATTTTAAATTTTCATTGAAATTTTAATACTTCCAAAAGACATGTTTTAAAATGTTTTTTAAATTAATGATATTATAGTTAAGATAAAACTGTTATATAGGCACTAAATAAGGTCGCATTCATGCATTTAAAAAAATGATAGAAGCAAATATTTCCAAAGTTATTATTTGTTTTAAAAAAATATGAAACAAGTAGTTCCATATAAGAAAATTTTAACATTTAAGTTGTTCTGCATATTTTGCAATAATAAAGAAATGTCCTGTATATATGCGATATATTTATATATTTGTGAGTATGTGCGTGTATGTGTGTGTGTGCGTGTGTGTGTAATGTGTATGTATTATACACCCAAAAATATGTATACAAACTTTAACAGCTGATTCTATTACATTTTGAAAATGAAATGTATTTTAATAAACACCACCTTTATAATTATTCAAAGTACTGAATAATTTTTTTTCTTGCCCTTTCATAAACTATTTCTCAAGGACCAAATCTGATGAGATCAATTCCTCCTCACTAGGATCAACTCGTTGATTCTAAATCTGTTAGGCAAAAAAAGAAAAACATATAGTAACCAGTAACCAATAAATTATTAAAGCACTGCTTTACATCACAAGCAATAAACTCTCAGTCAGCAATCCCTAATCTGCCTTAAATTTTAATTACTTTCAAAGAAAGAGCCCTAATACATATAATTTAAGCCCTTATTACACAGCACTATAAATATTGATTTCCCCTTATCAAAATATATGCACACTGAATCACGAAAAGGTAATATAAAAAAGAAAAGGAAATGTAAACATTCATTAAGACAGAAGATCTGTTCACTTTGATGATTTCTCATAATAGCTCTATAAGAACACTTGCTTGCTTAAAACTAAGTATGCGATGATTTAAAGGAAATTTATTCTTAAAATACACTAAAGGTCTGAAGTAAAACTTTTGAGAGGCAAAACTTTAGTAGAAAAGAATGTTTTCTAAATTTTATTAATGAGGCAAACTCCAATTTAAGGTTCTAAAGGTCAGTATTAAAAATACCAATCTGCAGAGGAAGAGACAAGATAAAGTGACTTTGGCTGTCATTTTCAGAGCTATTCAGAATAATCACAGCTAAATAACAACTTTAATATGGAGCCAAAGAGATTATTTCTCTCAGAATTCTTTCAAGAATTTGCCATTTTCAAAATTCCCATGAAGCTTAGTTTTATTACTGATGCTCTCTACTCTACTGCTATCCATTAACACTGCCTAGAATAAGATAACAGTATTTTTTAAGTTCAGTCTATGGGTCTACTTCCTGAAGTGTACAACATTAATAATTATGTTCTGGGTGTAGCACAACATTTACCAATGGAAACCATAAAAGAAAGCACTATTCACACAATCAGAAGACTAGGAAGGAACTTGACAGAGACCATACAGTTCAAAGAAACGTTTAATAAGCTCTTTCTTTATCGTAGACTCGCAATCTACCTTTTCCAGAAACCAGTACTATTGACTATACTTACATAAACTTATTAAAATGACCACAATTTAATTTGTACATTGTATAGTTTACCTTAAACTTTAAATGGACATGTTTAATTTGCTAAAAATCTATCTTCTACCAAAGGGAAAGAACAAGAACATTACAAATAGATTCCAGGGTTAATATTATTTTAGTACACTTATTTTAAAGCACTATAGTACAACCTCACTTTGTGTGATATGTCAAACTTTTTAACCAGTAAGTATCAGCCTTCCTTTTTCACAATGCCACAAATATCCCAGAAATTTAAGTCTTCAAAAGGAAAGATTATAAACAGTTTATTAAAATAAAATGCCATCGGAAGTCTTGATATAATCTACATAGTATACAATAAATACACTGTTAGTGATTCATAAATACTAAGTTTTCTGAATCACGTGTCCTTCTACCAACTACATGTCAACAAAACACCCAATTACTTTTTTAATCTAACTTTTCTGCTCAAGAAACCAAGAGCCCAACCCCTATATCTCCTAGAAGCTCAAATATCTGTTTCCCTGCCTTCCTGCGTGAGGCATTAAACCTTCATATTATATTTATCCTGCAGCTTTCCTAATAAGCATTATTCTTCACCACATTTTTATTTGCCACATTTTTATCTGGAGGATAAAGGCTATTCAAGCATTAAGACTATCCCATCTATCCTCTCACTCAAACTATAACTATGCACCTAATACTGATCATTCTATAATCATTTCACCCGAATTACCCAGTGATAGGTTTGACGTTAAGTCCCATTCAAAGGGGCTTGATATGTTTCAGGGTAGAGCAAGCTAAAGATTCTCATCATTATATTCTAGACATTACAGCTTCCAAAAAGCTTGAGAAGTTCACCAACGCCCTCCTCTCTCCTCTCTGGAATAGTAAACATCCTGTCACAGAATCCAGAGAACAGTGGCTTTGCTCTGGAGAGCAGAGCAAACACTGCTCAGAGCAGCTGTTAGGAACTTTCAGATGGCTGCGGGACTAGCACTTCAGTTACATTAATGATGTCATCTTGTTCTGCTTTACTTTCTCCTTTTCAGTCCTGCAATTAATGCAGAAAGCCTACTTTTTAAAATAAAGTACAGAAGAAGAAAAAAACATTCGCTACACTACTTCTCCAAAAAAAATCATTTTCAGATCCTTACAACATTACTTCATCCACAATCTATCAGTTATACGTGACACTGGAAGGCTGAAAAGGCCTCAATTTTCTACCCAGACTGACCAATCCTGTTTGCAAGTTTTCAATCATCTCGAGAACGTTCTATGTTTACAAGGTGCTGGCGCGTCTATCAGGAGAACCGTGCTGCTCGCAGACAAGCCCTGAATATCCTGCGCTTGACCGCCTGTAGGTGCATTTCTGGTTACTGCTGCGCTTTCTGCACCCTTCGTCACCCGGCGAGGCTCCCACCAGCAGACACTTGCCCGTCTTTTAAAACACACACACACACACACACACACACACACACACACACACACACACACACGGCAGGCTTGGAGGTTTCCTCATTCTGATACGGAACCACTAATCCCACTAGGTATTGTGACTCTCAAAGAATCCTTCAGCAGCCTCCCCTGGGACGTCGAGCTCAACGGGGCTTTGAACCCCCAAACTCGCTGCCAGCTGCCTTTGCAAAGGCAGCACCAGAAGCAGGCTCCATACCGCAGTGCCGCTGTGGACTTTTTCTAGCAGCTTAAAAAAAAAAAAAAAAAAAAAAACCCAGCACCCTGCAGACCCTGCCGGCTCTTCTGCAGCGCGGAAGGCAGCTCCGCAGGGCTCAGCAAGGGTCCCCGGGGAGCCCGGCTTCAGGGCGGAGAGGCGAGTGCCCTGGAGAGGCTCTCTCGGAAGCGGGGTGTCGGGGCGGGGGTGGAGGGGGGGTAAGGGAAAGGCGTCCGAGTGAAGGGGACCGCGACGGAGCAGCGGCCAGGACACTGGCGCCTGGGCGTTCGGCTCGGCATCGCGCACTGGCCGGGGAGGTCGGATAGCGGGCGCCCGGGGGCCCCTCCCGAGAATGGGGATCCCGCAACGACGGGCTGAGCACCCACCCCCGACCCCCCGCCGCCTCCCGGCCCTCACCTGTCATGAGCGCCGGGCTGTCGCCCGCAGCCGAGGCGGGAGAGGAGGCGGCGGCCGCGGCAGAGCTCGACGCGCGCCTCCCACGGAGGTTCCTGGGCACCAGCTCGCATCCGTCCGCCGCGCCGGCCACCAGCAGCCCGAGCACCAGCAGCGCAGCCCAGCGCCGCCGCCGCAGCCAGCCCGAGGCCGGGCCGGGATGAGGGCGCGGAGGAGGAGGAGCGGGGAGCCATCGCGGCGGCGCCTCGACCGCCGGCCACTCGCTCCCTCCTCGCGAAGCCGCCGCCTGCGACTCCTCGGGCCGCCCCCGCCGCCTCAGACTCCAGCTCCCGGCGGACGCCAGCCTGGTCCCCTCGGCACCGGCGGCCTGCGGAGCCCGGGTCCCGGCGGCGTGCATTGGTTCCGGTTATGGAAGAAAAAAAAGTGAGGGGCAGAGCGGTGCGGCGTCTCCGGCCGCGCGCGACACCCGCGCTGCTGCGGCAGCGAGACCAAGACCCGCTGCTCTGGCGCCTCCGAACACCAGCCCAGCGCCCGAGCCGCCACCGCCGCCGCGGCGCATCCCCCCGCCCCCTCCGGCCCGCGCTAGTCGTAGTACCACAGGCGGCCGGCGCCTCCGCCCCACACACTTGCTCGCATACCAATCCCCCGCCTCCTTCAGGGCTGCTCCGCGCAGGCGCGGCGCGGCTCCACTGCGCCTCCACTGCGCCTGCGCGGCGCCCAGCCCCGCCCCCGAGGGCGTTCCCCGGGGAACCAGAGTGCCGCGGGGTGGTTTCTAATGATTTAGCTGAGCTGCTAAAATGGGGGGTCGGGGGAAGACGGGCACGCCCTCCTCCCCCCCATTCAAGCCCCCGCTGCGATTGCCGGGAAGTCGAGGGGGGGTGGGGGATCCAGGGAACGGCTGGAAGAGTACGGATATTCCAGATCGTTTAGATGAGTTATAGCCCCTGTAGACCGCAGCAAAAATCATTGCATGGGTCCTGAGCACCTGGGAATCGGAAACAGCATCAGGGGAAACGTAATCTGTAAAACAGAATTTCCATACAGGTGGGGCTTCCAGGAGGCTAGCAATGTAGAAGTGGAGGTTAGACCAGCCTAGCGTTTTATTGACATGTCAACACTGTAAAGGCTTGCCAATGTGCTAGGCGCTGTTCTAAGCGCTTTACAGATTTACACATTATACCTCCTAGGTTGGGTGGTGGTATCCTTGTTATCAGACGCATTCACGAAGGAGGAAACAAAGGCCCAGAAATGTCAAATAACTCACACACACACACACACACACACACACACACACACACACCTGGTTAATGGGAGACATTTAGCACCACTGCATGGAAATATTGAAAGGGATTTATTGTAGCCTCTGACACTCCTATAATCAAACATTACCTGAACTCATTCATGATCTCCCTACCCCCACCTCACCCACGGGGCCTTTGCTGAGGGTTGAATAGGTTGACAGAAGAAAGGTGGTTCAGCCTTGACTTGGCTTCACCTACCTCGAATGCAGCACCACTGTGGACATGTGATGATGCACAGTTCAGAAAAGAATCAAGATTACTTTGAGGCTAACCAATCTTTCCACAGTTTTTCTTGACAGACTTCTTGGAGACATGATGTTCAGGTGGCAATTCTTTATAGGGCAACAGGGAGATTATATTTCCCCTGCTGAAAGGCACAGCCATTAAATCACACTTGCTGAGTGTGCACCGAAAGGACATGATTCTGCTAGAGAACCAGGAAAACATAAAGAAAATAATGAGCAATGTCTCCAGAAGGCAACATTTCATTCACTTCATACTTACTGAGTGCCTAGCATGTGCCAGGCAGGTTACTGAGTAGTGAGGATTCAACCAGGAATAAGAAAAGTACTTGAAAAGTCTTCTGCTAGTAAGTCAGCACTCGGCTATATAAGATAGACAACATAGCCCCTATCTGGGGAATCTTACAATCTTGCTTAGGAGATAAAACGTACACCCATTAAACAATTAGAGGCTAATACAAAGTAGTAATCAGTTGTTAAATTGGGTAGATAAACTGTGTTATAGCAGTGACAGCAGTATAAAACCAAGAACAAATTAACAAGTAATGGAGACCAACCTTCTTTTAAACCATCATGACCAGAGGTGTTCTTCTTTCTCTCTTAGAAAGATAGGGAGGATGTTGACAACAAGAGGGTACTGGATTTGGGGTTAAGTGTTTATTACTCTCACCATTGTAGCCACAAAGGGCACAGGGAACCTGCAAGCACTGGAGAAACCTTTCTCATTCTCCACCTCCTTTCATCTCTGACATCTGTACAGAAGTTTCTGTGAAATGAGTGCCCAGAATGTGTCTTCTCACTGAACAGAGGTATCACTGTGCATCTAGCACAAACGTTAGTACATAAAAGAGAAAGCCCATTGCTTTGGAAGGCAAGCCTAGCTCTGGAATTACAGATGCATCTATTTGCAAGCAAAACAGGAAAGGTTCCCTTTAAGGAGATCACTTCCCTTTCTTCTCAGGCTTCCTCTCCCACTTTCAAGCCTTTAATTTATTTTCCCTGCTTCCCAGAAGCTCCCTTCTCTCCTTTCCACTTTCCACTTTAAGCCCCTTTTCCTTGCCACCCTTCTGTCTCGCACAGCCTGGGTTATACCTCTGAACACCCAAAATTCACGATTTGCCATGCGTTTACAGAACGTCTTTACTCTCTAATTTTCATGACTTCAAGCGTCTGGTGGGCAGCTTCGAATTTTGGAATCAGGCAAACCTAGTGGAAATGGCAACTCCACCCCTTTTCATCTGTGTGACCTGCAGAAAAACTGATCTGTCCTCGGTTTCCAGCAGGGAACTTGGGGATCGTGTAATAATGCCTGCCCCACAAGGTGGTTGTTGGCGGCGGGAGAGTGAATTAATGACAGGTCAGTCTCCGTGCAGTGCCTGGCACACGGGTACGCAGTCACCCCTCGGGGAGAACTGGCCCCAGGCGCTGGGCGTGCAATCCGGGTGTTCCGGGCTTAGAAGAAGCTCCTCGCACTTGGCGTGGTGGTTTGGTTTCCTCTTCCCACAAACAATTCCCGGCCTCCGTGGGGCACAGCCAGCACCAAGGCACAGCGGGATCCGGGCCCTCCCCATCCCCGAAGCACACCCGCCCTGCCCTGGAGTCGGGCTCCCTTCCCATCTCCTCTTCTCCCCTTTCTCCCCCGCAGCGGGGACAGCCCGAGACACCCCACCCACCCCAACCCGGAGAACCGGATCCGCTGCCGCGGGCGGGGCCGCACGGCGCCTGCGCCGCCCCGAAGCCTCGCGCATGCCCGCTGCCTCCCGCCGCCTCTCCGCAGGTGCGCCCGCGGTTCCGGGACGCCGCGCGACGCGAGCACCCGGCTTCCGGCGCCCACTCCCTCCGAGGGCGCTGCGTCCCGGCGCCCGACCGCCGCGCGGTGACGTCACGGCGCGGGCGGGCGCGGTGGCGGTGGGTGGGCGGGAGGTGGGCTGGGCTGGAGCTAGACGGGAGGGGAATTCCGGCCGCGGTTAACCGGAGGGGCTTCTTCCTAAGTCTCGCCCACCCACGGAGCTTCTGACCCGCCTCTGACCCGGAGGGCGGGGTGCAAGTCGGAGGTCTCGGCTTCCACTCCGCGCCCCCAGAATATCCGGGGCTGACTGAGCGCCGTCCGAAAGCCGCTGTCATTTGCTCATCGCTGTTCATAAGCCTCGTGGAGAATTGCAAGGAGCTAGCTCCCTTTGGTGGGAGCCGTGCTGAGCACCAATCACTTGCTGGTTTTCCACTGACTCCCACACAAGCTTGCAAGGGAATTGAGGTGCAGAGAACTTTGGAAACATCTCCAAAGTGATCCTGTAGGCCCCAAAATCCAAACAGTAAATGAGGCCTCAGCGGGTCATTATGGCCCTCAAATAGTTGAATCAATTAAAGCACTAAAAAAAAGACAAGCTGGAGGTAACTCATTAGCAAGATTCTTTCTCCCTAAAGCCAAGTTGGATATTCCTCAGCTAGTTTAGGGAGGGTGGTAAACCTCATCTTCCCTTCCTAGGGGGAGTTTAAGAAATCTTTTTAAAACTGTCCTACATCCGGAATCAAAAACTCATTAAGAATGTTTAACTTCTTAACATAGTTTTTTGAAAGCCACACAGCAGAGCTAAAGGAAGTCAGCTTTGCCTACCAAAGCCAAGGGAGTCCGTGGGCTTGTGGGGTCGTAGCAATTAAAGAAGATGTTTACTCTGTTACTGCATCATTTGAGGGGTTCCATTAATATTATTGATCATCTAATACCTGATAAGTGCTAAAGCAGTAGGAGTGCTGACAGTTCCTATAAAAAAGAGTAAAGTTGTGAGGAAAACAGAAGTAGAGATATTCACTGTTGAAAATCACAAGACAATGAGAACTCATTTGCACAGAGATGAATCCGGAGATAGTAAATGACAGTTGTGAACATGAAAGGCAAATTATGCAACAGGTAACATGATACGGTATGCCTATGCTCTTGCAGCAAGAGACTGAAAAAGTGATTGATGGAATGAAAAAGTTCTAAACTATGATGCAAGAGACTACATTTCTAAGTCAAATGTAGACTCGGTTAACCTAATCTTAAGACACATGTAGATCAAGTGTTTGTTCTAGAACTAAAGCATAGGATGGTAGAGTGTATGTCCCGGGAAAAGTACGGTTCCATGGCTGCAAAGCACCAATCAAATGTTCATGCTATCTGTGAGTTATGGGGCACGAGGTTGCTAAGGGGTTCCTTATAACCCTTGAAGAGATTATCTGGGAAGGAATTACCTACCCTCGATTTCAAAGTATACAAAACAGGTGATTTTAGAAAAAGATACCATAGCACATACATGAGCAAGGAGGAGAAAAGTAGACCTCTTTCAACGTTTTAAAGGGTTGCCCACCTCCCTTTCTTTGTGTGTGGAAAATTCATACAGAGACTGCAAGTTTAAACCCTTTCTTGTTGAGTCTAATGAATTTTAAAAACTTGGCCATAAGCGCAGCCATTTGGAAGCTAAACCCTGCATAAGGAGAGGAACTCTATCTTGGTTCCAGGAAAGCCAGATAGGCTTATTTGAGTGAGATATGATGTCTTTAAGAATATGGATTCTCAATATAGTTAAAATGGCTATATTACCCAAAGCAATAGACAGATTTGATGCAATCCCCATCAAAATCTCAATGGCGTTTTTAAAAGAGAACAACAAAAAATTATCACATTTGTATGGAAGCACGAGACCCCAAACAGCCAAAGCAATCCTGAAAAAAGGAAGAAGAAGAAGAAAGCTGCCCAGCCGGTGTAGCACAGCAGTTGAGCACTAACCTATGAACTAGAAGATCACAGTTCAATTCCCAGTCAGGGCATATACCCTGGTTTCAGGTTTGATCCCCAGTGTGGGGCATGCAGGATGCAGCTGATTAATGATTCTCTCTCACCATTGATGTTTCTATCTCTTGGTCCCTCTCCCTTCCTTTCTGAAATAAATAAAAATATTTCTTAAAAAGATATATGTATCCCTATGTTCATTGCAATATTATTCACAGTGGCCAAGACATGGAAACAACCTAAGTGTCCTTGGGTGTATGACTGGATAAAGAAGATGTGGTACATATATACAATGGAATACTATTCAGCCATACCAAA